GTACTTTCGTCTTTTCCTCACTCCCATGCCTACCGAGTTTCTAATAATATTTTTGGCCTACAAAATCAAAGAGAAATAAATTTCTTATAAACATAAGTAAGCAAATAAGTAGGAAATATCCAAAGTTCAAACGAAATTATTACCCTTTTCCCTCATTAGATCTGACATAGCTTTATCTAGTCTCTGTTTTATGGCACGCTCCTTTCTTTTAATACCATCTCTCTTCAATTTGTAGTTCATATCACATTTTTTTTGTAATCCAATAGCTTTTTCTGGTAGAGGGATGCGAGATACTGACGGAGTCCATGGGCGGAGACATGCCATCTCTGACTGAGAAGATCCGGACATCATCTCGTGCTCGATCTCATCATCACCAAATCCATCGCAAGCATTGTCTGCAAATATTTATCCGGACATCATCTCGTGCTCGATCTCATCATCACCAAATCCATCGCAAGCATTGTCTGCAAATATTTTTTAGGAATATAAAATATCATTACATTACAAATGTATATTAAGAATTGGCATTGTCTGCAAATTTTTATTAGGAATATAAAATATCATTACATTACAAATGTATAATACCTAGATCTGGTGATGCGTCTTGATGTTGCAGTGTACCCATTTGAGATGTCCCCGCAATATCTAACAAATTATAAAATAAAAAATGAGCATATAAATTTATCAATTGAAAAATTAGGGAAATATTCAAGTTTATTTTTGGGGAAAGATCCATAATACCATAGTCACCTAATATACGCTTAATGTGGTAATTTTAACAAATATATCATTTCACCTTGTAACTTTCATAAATCTGTGTAAACCTAAAATATATCATTTTAAACAATCATTAGTAACAAATGAGAGTTTGTTATTACTCAAACAAGAGATATTGTACGAACGACGTTCTAACAATATTATCCATCTAAAAAGTGTTTCCAGTAGTTTCATAAAACTTTGACTTGCACCAATTAAGTTTGGAACATTAAGACATTCTTTGAAGAGAGGCACTAGAGGCACACTCTCCACCACACCTCCAACCACACCTCCCCTCCTGCTACAGTGCACCGGGGCCCACTTGAGATTTAAAATTTAAATCTCAAGTGGGCCCCGGTGCACTGTAGTGGGAGGGGAGGTGTGGTTGGAGGTGTGGTGGAGAGTGTGCCTCTATCATTTCTCTTCTTTGAATTAATCCTTAGGAATGCTAAGGGTGACAACATTGTTATTGATGACTCACCAAGTACATATAATAGTCATTCATGAATTATTAGTCCAACAAGCAAAGTCTAATTCTAAATAGTCGGATCCCAACTTGTATAGTGTTTTGAACATGGAAGATACGTGTCTAGTGTTCTCTCCTTAAATAGATATGATATACAAGTTGGCTTCTAGCTACCATGTAATTTTTTTGACTGGTAAGTTGAGGCTTGTAGATGCGGAGGGCGGTGGGCGGTGGGCAT